GTGTAATTATATTGTCTTCAACGTTCCAGCGGATGGGTTCAAGCTGCAAACCGATCAAGGGGGCTTTGGTTTTTTATTTCAGGGCAAGGTATTCATAGCTCTCAGGGTCACTGGGAACATACAAACCTTTCCACCACATTGAGGTGGCTGGCAGTTGTGGAGTAATTCTGTGTGAAGTCACACTCCTCAAACAAACTCACATAAGCCTGAATTAATAGTAGATGCCTTTGTTGTTTTTCTTTAGGATTTTGCAGACACAGAGCTGCTCCTCTCTCGAGGGAACGTTGACCAGAATGCATTGCAGGCATATGCCCGTGAGGCTGCAGACTTCTCCACCAATCACCAGCTGCCAACTCTGGACTTTGCCATGAATCACTATGGTCAGCCTGATGTTGCCATGTTCGACTTCACCTGCATGTATGCATCAGAGAACGCTGCTATGGTTCGCCAACGCCACGGACACCAGCTGCTGGTCACACTGGTTGGAGACAGCCTATTGGAGGTGAGACCGGTGGAGGTAAACAGGCTGCTGGAAGTGAGATACCTTGATTAATTACAGAGTCTTCCTGTCTTTTTGCAGCCCTTCTGGCCGATGGGGACGGGAGTCGCTCGAGGGTTTCTGGCAGCTCTGGATTCGGCTTGGATGATACGAAGTTGGGCTCAGGGCGCAGCTCCACTGGATGTCCTGGCTGAGAGGTGAAGACACACCTGGACAGGAAACATCTGCTGTTCTCTCACACCTGGCCACATTATGTCTGTTTGTGTGTCTTTCCTACAGAGAGAGTTTGTACCGTCTCCTCCCTCAAACGACTCCAGAGAACATGCAAAAGAACATCACTCTGTTCTCTGTAGATCCAACAACAAGATACATGAACACCAGCCTTTTGACCATCACACCTGCCCAGGTAAACACAGAGAGGGAAGGGCTTTTTTGTCTCTGTTGATGATGTTTGGTTGGACTGAAGAATTTAAAGCTGAATCAATAAACAAGTAAGAGCTGCTCCTGCATGAAGGGATTTTTTTTTTGTCTTCAGGTGAGGCACCTGGTTGACACAGGAGAAGAGGTGGGGCTAACCACAGACTGCAGTGATATCATCCGGCTCCCCTCCCCCAGATACCTCAGACAGGGTGGGATAACTTTACTCTGAAGATGTTTTTTTGTTTTGTTTTTTTAACTACAGTGTGATTGATGAATAGT